GTTGTGGTTATGGTTGTGGTTATGGTTGCTGTTGCTGCTACTGATACTGCTATGTGTGTTGGTGTTATTGTTGTTGCTGTTGCTGTTGTTGTTCTTACTCTTGTTGCTGTTGCGGTTGCGGTTGCGGTTGTTGTTGTTGTTGCTGTTGTTGCTGTTGTTCTTGGTGGTGGTGGTGGTGGCGGTGGTGGTGGTGGTTGGTTGTTGTCGCCGTTGTTCTTGTTGTTGTTGTTGTTGGCGGCAATGGTGTTGGTGATGTTGTTGGCGTTGTCGTTGTTGCTGGTGTTGGTGTTGTTGTTGCTGTTGCTCTTGCTCTTGATGTTCTTGTTGTTGCTGTCGCTGCCGCAGTTGCTGTTGTTGTTGGCGGCGGCGGTGCTGGTGTTGGTGTTGCTGCTGCTGTTGCCGTCGTTGCCGCTGTTGCAATTGTTGCTGCTGTCGCTGTTGTTGTTCTTGTTGGCGCTGTCGCGTTTGCATGCGCACTTGCATTCGCAGTCGCATTTGCGTTTGAATTTGTGTTCCGTTCGCAATTTCATTCGCATTCGCATGCGCATTCGCATTTGCATTTGCATTTGCATCTGTGTCCGCTGTTGCTATTCTTGTTCTTGTTGCAGCAGTAGCGGCAGCAGCAGCAGCACAGCAGCAGTCGTAGCAGCAGTGGTAGTAGGAGCAGTGAGATCGTTGAGTGGCCAGAGGAGCGGCAGTAACTGGGGCAGCAGCAGAAGCAATGGTAGCACAGTAGTCGCAGTAAGTAGTGAAACTAGCGGTACTAGTAGCCATCACAACAGTGAGTGCAGCAATAGCACTTGATGGCGTTGCTGTTGCTGCGGTGGTTAGTAGGTACAAAGGAAGAAGTAGTGGCGAGCATAGCAAGCAAGGATAGCAAAGTGAGAAAGGCAAGACAGCAAGAAAAGCAACAAAAGCCAACATAGCAAGAATCCATGCAACAAGCAGCCAAGCCACCAAGCAGCCAAGCGCCCAGCCGACAGCCAGCCAGCCAAAAGCAGGCAACCGACGAACACCCAACCAACCAACCAACCAACCAACCAACCAACCAACCAACCAACCAACCAACCAACCAACCAACCAACCAACCAACCAACCAACCAACCAACACAAAAACCAACCAACCAAAAAAACCAGCCAGCCAACCAGCAGGGCAGGCAAACCAACCAACCAACCAATCAACCCACCCACCCACCCAGCAAGCAACCAACCCAGCAACCAGCCAACCAACCAACCAGCCAACCAACCAACCAACCAGCCAGCCAGTCAGCCAGTCAACCAGCCAGCGAGCGAGCCAGCCAGCCCAGCCCAGCCCAGCCCAACCAGCCAGCCAGCTAGAACCAACCAACCGACCAACCAACCAACCAACCAAGCAAGCAAGCAAGCAACCAAGCAAGCAAGCAACCAAGAAATCAAGGAACCAAGCAACCAAGCAACCAGGCAATCAGCCAGCCAACCAGCAACCAACCATAAGCAACCAAGCAAGCAAGCAACCAACCAACCAACCAACCAGCCAGCCAGCCAGCCAGTCAGCCAGCCGGCAGGCAAACCACAACAAACCAAGCAGCAAAGCCAGCAACTAACCAAGCCACAGGCAACCGAGCAAACAAGCAACCAACCCCAGCCAGCCAGCCAGTCAGCCAGCCAGCCAGCCAACGAGCCAGCCAGCAAGAAGGCGACGCAAAAGAACCAAGAAACCAAAAAACCAGCAGCCAGCCAGCCAGCCTAGCAGGCAAACCAAGCAGCCAACCAACCAACCAACCAAACAACCAAACAGCCAGCCAGCCAACCAGGCAAACAGTGAGCCAGCAAGCAGGCAAGCAACCACCCAACCCGCCAGCCAACCAAGCAACCAGCAACCAACCAACCAGCCAGACAGCCAGCAAGCTGGCAACCAGGCAAACGTCAGCAAGCAGGCAAGCAACAAACCAACCCAACCAACCAACCAACAAACCAACCAGCCAGCCAGCCAGCCAGCCAGCCAGCCAGCCAGCAGGCAAGCAACCAACCAGGCAACGAATCAGCCAAACAACCCCCAACAACACAGCAAGCACAGGCAACCAACCAGCCAGCCAGCCAGCCAGCCAGCCAGCAAGAACAACCAACCAACCAACCAACCAACCAAGCAACCAACCAGCCAACCAACCAACCAAGCAACCAACCAGCCAGCCAGCCAACCAGCCAGCCAGCCAGCAACACCAGCCAGCAAGAACAACTAACCAACCAACCAAACAACCAAGCAAACAACCAGACCAACCAGGCCCTCTCAAGGCTTCAGACCCATTGACTGTAGTCAGCCAGCTAGGCCAGCAGCTTAAACCGAATCGCATCGCAAGGCTGTAGCCCTGTTTGGCAGGCTTTCTTGCGCTATAGGAAGGTCACCACGCGAGGTTCAGTATGTTTGCGTCGATCAGGGTCCGAGCTGAGATGAGCTTACGCGGCCCCGGAAAATGAACCACGACCAACAGCTGTTTTGGGCAGCCTTTGCCAGCACCACAGCAGAAGTCGGAACACTTAAAGGCACTCTTTGGCACCTCGTCTTTGCAGCAAGACCACACGGACCCCCAACACCACAACAGCACCTGGGGAGCCCTCCTCTCACAATAGAGGCTAAAGCTCTCAGAGAAGGAAATCCATTGCAAGCCTTAAGCGTAAGCCAACCGGGTCTAGGAAGCTCACACCCTCAATATTACATTGATGAGCTAGTGAAACTCACATCCTCTGGGCATCTTCATGCCCGCCGCTCGCCTTGGCAAGGATAAACAGCCACAGGCTGAATGTACATAGGCTCCTCACAAGTTACACCGGACACGCCGCTGAAATCTGAGTCATAGAACCCAAAAAGCAAAGAGCCAAAAAAACAAGTGTCTCGGAACATCAAACATGGATGTGGGCTCGTCCACTGATTAGGGGGCATTCTGCTACAGCGGCATTGATCATGAAGCAAGGGATGCCGGCCACGCTGCGCATCTGTCTTGTTCCGCAGAGTATGCACCCAGGCAACCTCACAAGGAAAGTACATTGAAAAAGGAGGGCCCTCCACAAAAACCCACTCGGCCTGGAAATTCCTTCAGAGATACTTGGCCTCCGGAGTGAGTCCTAAACTGCACATCGCTGCGGCGAAGGCAAGACATGTTGAGAACCAGCACGGCAACAACGGAACGCGATAGCTTATTAGTGGGGGCAGGAGCAGGGTGAACATTGCACTTTGCGGAACAATGCTTCGTAAGCACAAAAACTGCGTGGCAACCTTGCGACCGAAACGAAAGCTACACGTCATCGTCCAATTTCTGGTAAATTTGGGGCATTCCAAAACAGCACAAACGCGAAATGCTAGCAAACTCAAAACTCAAGTGTATGCCCCCCCAGCAAGCACAACACAGCATCACCGGGTGATAGGCCCATTAGGGACAAGCCTATATACTTCGGCCCGCGTCAGCTCCGCAGCAAACACGACGCAGCATCACCAGCATGCCCAGCATCACCGGCATCTGCAACGTGTACTCGCGGCCCTAAAACTGCTCGAAAACTGGAAGAAACTAAAATCCGGAAGAACAACAAAACTCTTGAAATTGGATGCAGTCCAACGTGCTTTTTGCGCAAAAAACAAGCCAACAAGCTCTGCAAATCAGTGCGGGTCAAACACAACTCTAGCGACAAAGTTGCTTTCCGTCATCATGAAGCAGCTCCCTGGAGCTGATTCTTCAATTCTGCAATCCTGCCCCACCCCTGTCTGAAAAGCTGAGCTCATGCAAATTGACAGCGTGGTGCGTCGCCGCCATCCTGCAACAACCCTCCTTGAGAAGGCAATGACGAGATTCATTGGATCAAACAAGATAACCAATTGTGTTCAAGACCTTAACGCAGGAACACACCTCATCAACTTGAAAAGGCTTAAACCCAGGGGGCAAGCAACGAAAGGACCCGACAAACTACCCAGACATGACTCTTCCCCAGGAACAGTCTGTGAATCTCGCGAGCCGGAAATTTGCGGGAGAAACAAGTGCTCCTTCGCAAAGACCTGGAAGTCTTCTGCATCTTGCCTGAGCGATCAGATGCACACATGATGCCTCAGCAAGGCTTCAGCTTTCCGGCTCTGGCGCAGCACTTGCCGCTGACAAGTGCCACGTTGCTTTCAGCGCTCACCCGCCCCTTTTCGAACCGAGCAGTTGTGCGTGAGGACACTTTGGTGGAAGCCTTGAAGTGGTACATACGTCATCACCTTGACTGCAACACTGCCAGAGTCAGCGTGCCTTTTTGGACCCCTTTGTAGGCGACTGTTCTCTAAATATAGCTTCTGCCAACGGCTCATGCGTGCAACCATACACAAAATAAATTGCGCGACGTATCCAAAGCCCACCCCCAAAGTGATAGAACATTACCAACATGAGGTTGCGCACTTTACGCCGGACTCTGTCCTCACCACCAACAACAGGGTCTCATGTGCCATTTGGTGACACCACACAGAGATGTGCTTCACGATCGAAACAGATAGTTGGCTCGCCCTCCCTCTTGGTGAAAAGGCCCAGACCCCCCCGCAGAATCTTCATCCCGTTGGAGTGCTAGCTGCTAGCTGGTGCAATCGAGGGGGAAGCAAAGTACAGATTGGTGAAAAGAGTGGACCCTCTCGAACTTGGAAAAACCAACGTGCAATGGATCCAAGTTGAGCCCAGGTTGCGCAAGCCGCAACGTCATTGGACGTTTGCGCTCCGCGCCGGAAACTTCCAGCCCTTGAGCCAGATCCGCTGAGCAAAGGATGGGAAGCGGCCATTGCAGCAATGGGCCAGGGCCAGAAAGTTGAGACTCGCCCGAGGCTTTTGATTGAACCAACTGGAACAAGGTCTGGTGAAAGCGAGACACCCTCGCAAGGGATACGATGCCTGTACCCTAGGAAACCAAAGGGCTCTTCACTTTTGAACGAGGCTCTTCAACTGAGGGCCTTTCTGGGGCTCCGATGTTGTCTGGAGAAGCGCAGGTTTTGCACAGAAAAGCGCCCCGGCCGAGCGAAGCTTGCAGAGGCCGAGCGCCTGCAAGCCCCCACACCGCCAGCCTGCCCTATTGCAAATCACGGACAAATGTTTCAATGATCCGGTGGCAGTCACTTGTATTGAAATGATAGAGGTTGATTCCCATGCCTCTTGCTAAGAAGAGACAATAGCCTGACACGCTCCAAGCTAGCCATGCACATTCGGAGAAGTCGCCACAGCAAAAGAAATGCCCTCCTGTTGACGTGACACAATGCCAGGTGGCAGATAAATCTTGCCACATACCGATCTGGGTGAATGAATGATCACATATCGCCAACCTGCAATGAGGGGGAGTAGATGGACCACCGCCCACAGCCGTGGGACGAGCTCCGTTTTGTTGTGTCTTTGCGGTTGATTGTTTTCGGTGTTGGGGGGAAAGGCGGGGGGGTGCGGGGGGTGGGGGGGGCGGGGATGATTGCGTCACTTCCTCGATTTCGGTTGACGAGAACAGTTTCTGCGGTCCGTTTTGATTTGTTGTTGACGCGCGGGGTGTGGGGTGGGGGGTGTGTGTTTGTGTGTGGAATATTGGCGTGACTTCTTGGGTTCCTTGTTTGTGTGCTGAGCTGTCTTGTTTTGCTGCTGCTCCTTGTGCCCAGACCATGGTGTCAGAAGATGTTCGTAGCCCTTGCCTTCATCATCTTCTTGCTGCGGATCCACACACTCAGTGCCCCTTTTCGCAATGTGGTCTCTTCTGGACGTCGCGTACAGCGCTGGCGTCACGGCGCGCCCGCATAGATTTCCGCTCGACTTTCTGGCTTTAGGCGCCTACGTTCCTTTGTTGTGGTCCATCTGGCACGCGGCTTGGGATTGTCATCTGCTGCACCCTTGCTCCGTGTGGTTTCTGCTTGTTGGGTGTTGTCTCGTCGCTTGTCTGGCCTGCGTCTCATGCCTGCCCAGCCTTGCCATGGCCCACTCCCCAGCACCCGCGCAAGCTTTTGTGGGTTCGCCTGTTCTCCCTCAGCTGTGCGTTGCAAAGCCGACACAGATTTGGGCCTTAAGGCTTTTGGGTGAACACCCCTCCCCTCGTCGGCTTTGGAACAGAGAATTCCTCACGCAGTTCCCAAACAACATGCGATCTCCAGCATGATTGACAGCCGATAGTTGGGGGGTGAAAACGGAGCTTTCGACAGCGGCATGCCAATGAGATTTGGAAACGCCAGGAATTCCCCACTGGCTCGGCGCATTTCACATGAAGAACGGACAGCGCTCTCCTTTCCCCCACGTAATCGCGGCTTGGAAAGATTGCTCCAAAGCTAGAAAACACATGATATTACACGGGCAACTACGAGCTCAGGGTAGATGGCCTTGAGGTTTTGGATGTCTGTTCTTTTTCGGAGTTGTCTTTGCGTGGTGCCTTCTATGGGTTGCAACCCTTCTGCAACCAAGCAGGGCTTGAAATTTTGGAGATTTTAATGCAAAAATCAACCAGACCTAGTTTGCCTGCCCAAGACGGCTTCTAATTCTAATTGGAGCTCACTTCGCTCCAAGCCTTTAAGCCAATTTTAAGACGGGGCATCGGGGCGCCCACCTCCCCAGCCTCAGGCCGCAGGGGTCGCTACGCGCACCGCCGCGGAAGCCGCCGCGGAAGTCGCCGCGGAAGTCGTAACGGGAATCGTAGCCCTTGGCAACCGTAATGGGGCTGCTCACCATTGGCTCTAATCACTAAACAATAACTCAATAGACTGACTCTTTTATGCCCTCACATCTTCAACGTGTCATGAAGGTCACACAAGGGCCTTCCCTCAAGAAGCAAAGCGGGCCTCGAAACCAGCCAGGCACTTCTATGACGAGGCACTCTCGATCGCGCCCGCCCATCTTTGGAACCTGCAGGTCAGTGTGGCAAAACTGCATACTTGAACCCTTCCCATCCCAGCATCTCAAAAGCAGACCTAGCTGGGTGCTGTGGGAGTGTAGATCCAAGATCATAGCGCGTGAGACCACAAGGCTCGCGTCCCTGGGCTTGCTAACAATCTGACAGGTCGCAAGCAGCAGCACAGCAAAAACTCTGCTTGCGCCCGAGCGCACGCGAGTATACGCATGCTTCCCTGCCAGCGCGCGCGTGCGCGTGAGCGCGTGCGAGGGCTTGGCGCGCGCGGCGCGTGTACGTGCTGCGCGCGTGCGTCGGTGGGTTGGTGGGTGGGTGGGTGGGTGGGTGTGTCTGCGCGTGCGCGTCAGTGCGTGCGGGTGCGTGCACGAGTTCGCGCGTGCGCCTGTGCCTGCCTGCGCTAGCGCGTGCTCTTGAGCTGTGGGCGCAGGCGTGGCGCGCGCACGCGCGCGTGGGCGCCTGTCCGCGAGTTTGCGGGCGTGCGCGTGTGTGAATGTTCATTTGCGCAAGTGTGCAAGTGTGCAAGTGTGCACGTGCAGTGCGCAAGTGGGCTTGAGTCGGATGCTTCTCTACTAATAGGTTAAGAAGGTTAACAAAGAACAGCAAGAGTTTAACAACAGAGTAGCAAGGCAGCGCTAGTGCGGTTGTATGTATGTGTTCAGCAGATGTAAAGCTTATGTTATGTTGTTAACATAGTTGTGCATTAATCAGCTAATTGTGTTAGGTTGGGTCATCTTCGCACTTGCGACTCCATGGCTGCAGAAGCAAGACCAGCAACTGCAACAGTGGAAAGGTGAACCCTGTGCGCCTGTCTTCTTGCTGGTTTCATGGCTTTTGTGCTGGTTGCTTTGTTCTTGCTGGTTTCTTCCAAAAGAACTTTCATGTATGGCTTGGGCCCTGGGCAACAGCTTCTACTATGTTCTCTAATGATAATCACAAAAGCCCCAAATGTGTTCATCCACCTGATAGCCTACCAGCTGGTGACGCTCTCTGGCACGGGAGTCTCGGTGCTGGACTAGCAAGGCTCCATAGCTCAATCGGAAGAGGCGCTGCAACTCTGAAGCTTGGAGGGCGCGGGCTCGATTCCGCCCAGGGGCGGGCACAGGCATGGTTTTTAAGCTGTTGGGCTGTTGGGTTGGGCTGGCGCTGGTCAACTGCTGGGTTGTTGGGCCAACGCTGTTGGTCTGTTGAGCTGTTGGCATGGTTTTTAAGCTGTTGGGCTGTTGGGCTGGGCTGGTGAGCTAGCGCAGCTAACTCAAGTGGCTGAGAACCCAAGCTTTGGATCAAGGAGGGCGCCGACTGACCAGAAGCCTTCTTGCGCACCCCTTCAACACAACAGAGGGGGCGCCGTGTTGTCATGGCATGACAGCCATGAGAAAGGTTCCAGGATCTTGCAGACTGGGCCATGGATAAAATCCAGCAATCTGTTGCTGCGCAAATGTCTGCAGACCAAGACAAGAGATCCAAGCAGTTGGCTGCCACAAGCAGGCCAGTGCTGGCCATGACCAGTACCTTCTACCAAATGTGTCACAAGGATGGACTTGGACCATCCTGCAAGCAGTGTAGACGACACCTTTTCAGATCTGCCATGCTTGATTTAACAAGCTTTGAACAGTGACCACAATGCGGCCATTCCAGGAACAAATATACAAGTCATGCGACAAGCGGCAGAGCTGCGTCAGCACTCCAAGAATTCGAAAGCTGCCACCAAGCCCTAACGCATGCCACATGCAGTTGGGCGGGCAATTTGTCCAAGAATTTGGTGGGGGCGTCGTCTTCTCTACCATCAAGCTGCTGTCGCATGTGAGTCTCTTGCTTGTATTAGCATGGACACATTAGTGCTTCTTCACGAACGAATTCACCTTGGCATGGATGGTGCTGAAATGGCTTGCAACTTGTCCAGCCCATTTGTGAAAGATGGGGTGGGCAGGCTATTGGCCAAGAGTGACATTGAAAAGCTCAAGAAATGGCAGAAAAGGCCATCACCATCAATTGGAAGTTGGTTTGCCAGGAAGAGCACATAGGAGCTTTGAATGTCATGGGCAGGTGCTTCAAAAAAAAGAGTTGAAAGGGAGAGAAGGCCTGGAGTTTGAAGACTTGCCCAAGATTTCGGTTGCCATCAGCAGCGCAGAAGAGTTCAAGTGCCAGCTTCTCTCCAGGACTGCTGGGCATCATGTGTCATAACTCTTTGACACAGGAATAGCACATAATGCTTTGGTTGGAATGAACGCAGTGGGTCAGGACCAAGAAGATCCCGTGAAGATTGCCTTGGCCAGATATGGCTTGGAAGTGGGCCAGTTCTACAAAGGTGAAGACACATTGTAGACCAAAAGGCCATGGCCACTTTGGCTTTGTGGGACCACTTCCAGAAGTATTTCAGCTGCAAATATTCAAAACAAATTCCAAGCGCTTGATTGTTCCAAATGTGTTTTTCTAGGATGGTTTCTGGATTGCGCTTGCTTTCCATTAAGGCAATCCACTGAAGTGACCAGCCTGGCATTTGCTACCAAGATTGCTGAAGTCTTTGCCAATGCCAAGGGAAAGCTGAACGTGCTGAAAGCTGACCAAGTGAAAGCCAGCATGTGCATCCTGTATGCCCCAGACAACTATCCAACCACCCAAGCTGGAATTTGAGAAAGGAAAAGGCATTGCAGTCCCATTCTTCCATGTGGGGAAAACCACTGAAGTGCACTTGGTGAAGGCTCAAGTTTACCATTTTGGTTCCGGATCCACCAGGATGACAGGCGCTTCTTCAAATTGAGGGGCTCCCGCTGGAGGCAAGAATGCCACACTTGCCAACTCTTCTGGGCTGCAGAAATTGAAAGAACAAAGAGACAAGGATGTCCAAAATTTGGAGGAAGATGATGCTGAAGGTCTGGGCGTGGAACAAGCCCAACCCAAGAGCACCAGGAAGCCAAAACTGCACGAAAATGTTGTGGTGGGCTTGGGCGTCAGCTCCACCAAGTGCAAATGAAAGCACAGCAGTTGACTGCCATTTTTGAATATTTGGCGCCAGATTGCCAAGAGCTGAAGATTGACCAGCCTTTGAAGAGACCAAGGAAAACGGCCAAGAAAAGTGGCCAAGAGAGCTCTGGGGAGGACCCACCAGTGGACCAGCCTTAAAGTACCAAAGTGACGGCCTGCTGCGCCAACTTTCAGTTTCAGTAACACACACTGCTTTACAAAGTTGTCAGTTCTATTTTGTTTTTGACAAAAAGCTGCAGAAGCACTCAGGGCTTTCACTTTGTGGAACTCCAAAAATAATGTTGCCACGTGGCCTTGCTTGTCAAGTTGTTTTTCAAGACCGGCAGAGAACCAAGCACCCCTGGGCAGACCCCTGCTGGAGGAGAAAGCATCGCGTTGGTCCCGCGCGAAGTCAGTTGCTTCCAGCTCTCAAAAGTTCAATACTTGGATCCAACTTGTTGCTGAATTTGCCTGCCAGTCCAACCCAGATGAACAAGCTGAGGCCACTTCCTGGAAGCCGGTTTTGCAATGTCCAAAACGCAGAAACACACCTGTCTCCCACGTTTCTGCGAAGCAAGGAGCCTGGTCCAAGGTGGCCACCACTTTGTGAAAGAGATACCTTCCAGCTGCTTTCATTGCATGACGCTGCCAGGCGCGGACTTGCCCAGGCCACAGAACGGGTTCCACAGAAGAAAACAGAGGAGCCAACCAGGGGCAGGCGCGGGGCCAGAAGCCAAAGCCCATGGCAGCGCCAGCAAAACCAGTGCCTGCTCCAGTCTTCACAACTGCCAAGACCCACATGGGCTCTGTGGCACCTACTGCTCCTCCCAAGGCGCCCAAGCCCATGGCACCCTGCCACGCCGCCATGGCTTGTTTTGTATCTTGCTTGATTTGAAAGCTACCATGATGTGTGCAACTGAATGCATTTTTGTCAGGCCACTGCAGCAGAGTAGCACTCAGTGCTTCTTTTGCCACACGCAATAGCATCCAACGCTTGCCAATTCTGTTTGCCATGTTGATTTGCAGTTTAAACAGGAACCAGCTGCTAAAATTCAAAACTTAGCGTTTTTTATCGGGAGAAAAACAACAAATGGATTTTTAATGTGTTTGAGCGTGCAACAAAGGCTGACAAACCCCGCTGCTGCCATCTGCTGCAACACCGCTTTTTGCTATCGAACGGCTTTTTTGCAGCTAACACGCTCGCTAGCGCCAAGCGCGGAAGGTAGCAGCGGTATTTGGAACTCGCTTCTGTTCTGCGACCGCAACTTTCCGGCAGTGTGATGGAAAACAACTTGCGCGCTGCAACCTTGAGCGCCCAAGATGTCCAACTGCATTCTCTGCGAGACAAGCGGCCGGTGATGCTCGGGGTGCTGGCGATGCCTGCACAAGGAGGATGCGAGACACCTGCTATGAGCGACAAGTGTGATGTTAGTTGCACGAAAGACCTAGAGGGCCGCGAGAAAACTTGCGCGCTTCAACGGAGCATAATTTCTGCAAAACAAGCGGCTGGTGACGCTGGGGGCGCTGGCGATGCCTGTGATGTTGGCGACGCAAGGAGAGAAGCGCTTTCTACGAAGCAGGTTGCGTTTACAAGGCCGACGACGAGCGCGATGTTGGTGGCACGATAGAGCTAGAAGGCCGCGAGAAAACTTGCGCGCTGCAACTTCGAACGCGCAAGGTTCTCCGACTGCATTTTCTGCAAAAACAAGCGGCTGGTGATGAGCTCGGTATTGAGAATCTCTTTCTTGGCGGGGGGTGGGGATGTTGACGGCGATCGGGAATGTGACCCTCTGCGGGGATCGGTGTGGTCGAGGTGCAAAAACTCGTGTTTGTTTTTGCGTTTTTGTCGGTGCGCGCGCAACCCTCTGCGGGGATCGGCGTGGTCGAGGTGCAAAAACTCGAGTTGTTTTGCGTTTTTGTCGGTGCGCGCGCGACCCTCTGCGGGGATCGGCGTGGTCGAGGCGCAAAAACTCGAGGTTGTTTGCGTTGTTGCCATTCCCGGATGAACCCTCTGCGCCTCCAGCTGCGCAACTTG